ATATATTAGTATTAGTATTCCTATATTACAGACAAGAGAACAGAAATCTCTAGCAGTTTCCCTGGTACTCCCAACTGCTGGATATTGTCATTTGAAAGGTGCGCTAAGAATATCAGTGAGGCTAGGAATAAAGCTCAGTGGTAGAGTGTGAGACCCTAGGCCCCATCTTCAGAATTTCAAACACACATATCGGATGTTACAATTCATCAGAAATGAATCTGGTGTGTGTAGACTTGATTTCCTCTAATCCAGACAGGAATTTCATATTGACAGTAATATACAAAAGTCAAGCATAATACTTTCTTCAAGTTATTCTCCAAGCTATGGTTTTTTTGAGCTATGCCCCAAACTAAGCTCTGCATCTACTAAAGCTGAAGTTTAATAAAGCCTTCTTCTGTCTCTAAGAAGTGGAAGATGCTGGCATAGTGGCACACACCTTTAATCCTAGCACTTGGGACTCTGAGGCAGGCAGAGCTCTGAAAGATTAAGGCCAGCCTAGGAAGGTCTACATAGTGAGTTCCAGGCCAACTGGGGCTTCAAGGAGACCCTGTCTCAAACAACAAACAAAGAAAAAAATTAGGTTTTGCTCAACTTTAATAGAGTGTCAGTCCTTAATTAAGCAAGATGCTCGAAGCTGAAGCTGGGATTTCAGCCACATGGACATCAGCTCTGGCTTTGGCACTGCCAGAAAGCCCATTTAATCACTCTGGCAGCTGTCACCCTGTTTTGAGATGTGTAGTCATCTTTTTTTTTTTTTTTTCCTGTCCTGGAACTCACTATGTAGATCAGGCTGGCCTTGAACTCACAGAGATCTGCCTGCCTCTGCCTCCTAAATGCTGGGATAGCCATCTTTCTTAATCACTGTTTTTCCAAATATGTTTTGCTTAATCCTGAGCAATATATAAGTTTCTATCAGACTGTATGTGTGTATAAAGCTGTGTGTACACACACTGTGTACATATGTGTAAACTGGAAATCAAAGTATCATGAAGTAGTATTCCATTTTCTTTTTCTTTTTTTCCATGTCTCCCCATTCACAATACAGACCAGGCACAGTGGCCTGGGCTGGGGTGCACATGGGCAGGTTTGCTCTGCCTCCTCTTTCTACACAGTCGATGTAAAAACACAGCCTGTGGTAAGAACCAGGAGGCTGTAGTATTCCTTTTTCATCTTTTCTCTACTTAGTTTAAGGAGAATGTTGGTCATGACCCACTAGATGTATTTCCAAGTCTACTCAGAGGGCTGTCACCTACTCTTTGTGTAGGGTTCTAATTAATTCAAAATCCGCCTCTCTTCCCTGGGCTTCACATACTTCCAGGGGAAGACGTTACACCCTCTTCTAAGCTCTCCCTAACCTTCATACTATACCATCACGATCTTCATCATCACTACCACTGAATTCTGGGCTCTTGTATAACAAGTCACTCTCATCAGCTGCTTACTGGGGATATTTTCCCCTAATAAGGATCCAGTTATTTCTCATGAAAGACCGGAATCCTGAAAAATTGTGATTTTTGAAAACAGCATACTCTCCTCCTAAGTTTTTAGATGTCAGCTGGCATCAGGAGCTCTAGAATTCCTGTCGTGTCTAGGGCTGGCTCAGTGCTCTGTGCACAGTAGGCTGCAGGAAATAAATACACATGGACAGGCTTCTGTGGAGACTTCCCTTGCATACAGAGGAAACGGGGCTCTTGCAGAGGTGGCTGTACAAGATTGAAAACTGTAAGATTATTACATAGAGCAGAAGACTGGGTAGGGTACATATTCCTAAATTGGCAAGATAGCAAGAAAAGCAGACAGGCAAATACAGGGTTTGCCTGACTTGACTTGGATAGACTAAAGCAGAGTTGGTCAGTGACAAAATCTGTCTCTATATCATTGACCCATAAGCCATAAGCCCAAGTGTGTTTACAGCCCTTCTGACTTACCCCTAAAAGCTAAGTGGGCCCCAAGGGGTTATTATAACTCCTGCTCTCTTTGAGCATGTGTGAAGGCAAGTGTTTTAATTACTTTTTTGTATTACTTTGACAAAATACCCTATAAAAGCAAATTAAGGAAGAAAGAGGTTTTTGTCTCACAATTTAAGGGTTTAAGTCCATCATGGTGGAGAAGATGTTGCGGCAAGGGTCTCGTGAGTCGAATTGCATCTTCAGTGGGGAAACAGACAGAAATGAATGTCATGCCAGTGCTCACCTGGCTTTCTCTTTTCTTTCTGTTCAGTCTAGGACCCCACCCCCTGGGTGGTGTCACATACCTTCAGGGTGGATCTTCTTTCATGGGTTAAACCCCTCTGGAAATACTCCTATACACACGCCCAGAGGTGTGTCTTCTAGGTGATTCAAAAGGTGGCAGTGGAGTGACAGGGAATGGATATTATAGTTTTGGGACTGTGACTCTCTTCCTTCTCAACCTAGATTCTCACACAAACAGGTGATATTGCATGTGTTTCTGCAAAGTTGCCTTGCCAACCTGTAGATTATGCTGTTGCCTCTCCCAAATGTCAAGGTCATTTATTTTGTTAAGCTGCACAATGGTTACAGAACCAGCATAATTTGGAGACAAACCAGGAACGGAGAAAACATAATGAATATAATTAACATATATATTTTTTTCAGATTTTTAAATTTTTTATTAATTTTTTGTGATTTTCATACAGTATAATTTAATGGTACTTAGATGCCCTGCCCCATCTGCACTTCCCCCACTGTCCCCTACCCAATTCAATATTCACTACTATATATAAAATACAGTCTATAGTGTCTGATTTGTGTCCCCACATGTACCTCAGTGTAGGTTCATCCATTGGAGACTGGCCAAACTACCAAATGTTCTGTCCCTGTAGGAGACTGTTTCTTCCCCTCCTAGCAGCCATCAATTGCAAAAGTTCCTTAGGTTGGGATTTCTTATCTATTTCCCCATGCCTATGATGGGATTTTGTCTAGTTTGAGCTTGTGTAGGACATGTACATGCTGTCATCATTGCTGTGAGTTCATATAAGTAACTGACAAGCTGTCTGAAAATGTTTCCTTGTGGTCATCTGCCGCCTTTGGCTCTTGCAGTCTTTCCACCCCCTCTTCTGAAATGATCCCTGAACCTTGGGAGGCAGAAGTTTGAAATATGTATCCTATTCAGGAAGAACACTCTGCAGCCTTTTGTTCTCTGTCCACTGGTCAGTGGGTTTCTGTGTTAATCACCATTTGCTACAAAAGGAAACCTCTCTGGTGAGAGTTGAGAGATGCTCTCATCTTATGTGTAGAGGTTGCATTGAAGATGTCTGTTAGGGCTAAGCATCTCACAAACTCTTCTCTGCTCTTGATGTTTCGGAGCTCTATAATTGTCTCGATCTGTTGTAGAAAGAAGGTTCTTTGATGAGCAGTGAGAGGTGCATGTCTGTAAATATGAAAATGCATATTTAAAATATGAGAATGCATATTCCCTTCCATTGGGCAGGACTTAATTCCAATCAGGCAGCTGAAAATAATTTTTCAAAATCTTTTATAGAATTTTTCCATTAAAAAAATCAGTTTTACCCAGAAGCCAGGAAAATGGAACGGAACCTTGTGGGTGAAGGGGAAGAAGGAGCTTGAGTAGGGGGAATAGTAAGAAACAGGTATTATCAAGGAGGAAATGGGTTAAGGGGATACTTTAACTGGGGACGGATTAAGAAGGGTCATACAGGGGAGTGAGAAGTGAGATAAATAATGCTTAGCTGGTATGAAAAACCAGAGGGAAATATACTGATTGAAAGTCCTACTGAAAAATGCTCATAATATATATCATTATATATGTATGTATGTATGTATGTATGTATGTATGTATAGCTGAAGGCTATATAACATAAAATCACAGTGTCAGGCAGGAGAAACTTCTCTTTGAATTGTTGGTTAGGGTTAGTCCAAGATACTCCTAAAATAATACAGGGTATTACCACAGTCCTTGATTGCCTCCTAGAATTTGAAGGAAGGTAAGACCCTATTTCTGAAGACAGGCCATAAGACTTGGAGCAATGACCTAAAAGTCTCTTCCCTGAAGACTAGCTCTCAGAGGTAGAGTATAGAGGATACTATATAAGCTGCCAAGGTAGAAAATCAATTGATGGCCCTACCCACCTGTAAAACTTAAAAAAAATAACAATAAATGACCCATCAAAATATCACTATCAGTGCAATAGTGGCACTTTTATCTTGTAAGTGATCAATTAAAAGCTTTAGGAGCCAGATATACTCAAACCATATCTAATTTTTTTTTTGGTCTTTTTGAGACAGGGTCTCCCTGTAGCCCCAGCTACCCTGGAACTCACTATGTAGACCAGGCTGGCCTTGAACTCACAGAGATCCGCCTGCCTCTGCCTCCGGAGTGCTGAGATTAAAGGCGTGCACTACCACACCCAGCCATATCTTACTTTTTAAAGCAACAGTTCCTAAAATTTAGAGGTGGGAAGAGCCTTAGTGCATGTGATTCAGTTGCCTCATTTTACAGTTGCAGAAGAGACTGAGGTCCCTAGAAACTAAAAAATAGGGGAGGTGGCTAACCCCAGATCTTCAAGACTCTGAGACTGTTTTCCTATGTCTCAGCACCTCTTGAAATACAGATTTCTCCTGTTCCTAAGAAATGGTAAATAAACTGTTGTAGTTTCTGCCTTCCCTCTTGGATTCAGTGATGCTAAAACCAAAACCCAAACAGAAAGCACAAACCCAACCCCAAATCACCAGCCAGATTTGTGTGACAAAAACTGTAGCTATAGTGTATGCAATCCAGAAGAGACCTTTGTGAGGTTCCCAGCTGTCAGTTTGGAATTCCCATGGCTGTTCTTGAGGGGTGTGGACAGTGAAAAATGCACAACAAACAAGCATTTTGAAGAAATTCCTGTCACCATAGGGGGAAATGGCGTCACAGGAGTGATTCCTAACATAAAAGAAAAATGGACAGCCTTCAGTCTTCCTCTTCTGCCTCAGTCAAAGAGGTTTCTTTCCATTCAAGAATTGGCTAGAAATTCAAATCATCAACTTTTTGACTCTCAGAACTGGAGATCTTCTACTCCACCAGTATCTGATACACAGATCAACTGAACAAGTCTACAGAACAGGTGGTGGTTGGATCTTTTCTGTATCCTCAGAGCGAGACAGTGCCAGAGTGGATCTTTTGCTGGACTAAGTGATTGTCCAAGATTGAACTTTGTTTCCTATCTTTAGAACCTACTTAGCTTCAGGTCTTACCGAGTTCCAAAGGGAAATGCCTCCAACTAAGAAACATGCATGAAATCCTGCAAGTGGAAGTTGAGACTGCCCAGTAGCTTTGGGCTTCTCATGCCTCTCAGTCAATAGGAAAAGGGGCTACTGTCCTGATGACCTTGAGGAAGCTGGGCTGCTGCTACACAGTAGACATATGGAGGGCTTTGTCTAGAATAGAGGAGACACCTTAAGACATCTTTTAGTACTCCCATGTCCTGTGACTAAAGACAGTAGAAAACCAAGACAACCCAGCTCAGGATGACCAATGGCCCAGATTTCTCAGGAATGCAGGTAGGGGCTGGAAGGTCAGCCCACCAAGCAGAGAGCCACAACCTGCTGAGGTCCAAGCCAACTGCAGTGGGAATATGTAGTAGTTAGTAGTAGAAGATAGCGATGAAGAGTAGCTGCTACCATGTGACTAATTGCAGAAATGACCTAACAGTTGCATTTCTTATAGATGAGCTAGAGATAGACAGAGATAGAGACAGATATAGAGATGTGTGTATATGAGAAAGAGAGAGAGAAAGAAAGAGAGAGAGAGAGTGAGTTTGGGGTGGGGTGCATGTGTATGGATGGAGGTCAGAGGACAACTTTCAGGAATCAGTTTTCTCTTTTCACCATGTAGGTCCCAGGGATCAAATTCTTGCTAGACCATCATGCTTGGTCTAAGCACCTTTACCCACTGACCCATCTCACTAATCCATTCCCAGCCCTTTCTAAACTTTTTTTTAAAAATGGTTTATTTATTGTTTTTATTTTATGTGTATGAGTGTTATGCCTGCATGTAGGTAAGTGCACCCATGTCGTGCAGTGCCTGCAGAGGACAGAAGAGGCTATCGGATCCCCTGGAACTGGAGTTACGGACAGTTGTTTGCTGCCATGTGGGTGCTAGGATTTGAACCCGGGTCTTATGCAAGAACA